TGGTTCAACTTTATCAAATATTGATTCCAAATAGAAACCTGCATCCAGGCTTTTGTGTTCCAATAGTAATCAACTGGGAGCTTTGACTTGTCAACTCCAATCATGTCTCTTGGTGTTTGATACTTGTGAATAAATAAAAGAGGAAGTTTTTCAGTTCCTGTTGCATTCATGGTCAGTAAAAGGGTTATTCTTTTTTTTGATTTTTTAATACCAGAAAGAGGACCAGTTGATAATGTCTTTGAAGGTTCTAAATCCCAGAGCAAGCCTAATAAAATAAATACTTAGTTAGTCTATTATAAATGATATAATAATAATTATATTGAATTATTTTACCAGTTTCATCACAATTATAAACATTTTCTAAAGGAAATTCCTTGATTATTTCTTGTAATCTTCTTCTTTCTTCAGAAGGTGCAGAGCTTGCTTCACCATGCATAACATACTGCTTTATATTATTTCTTTTCTTAAAATTCGACACCCAACCATCTGAACCTTTAAAATCATCAATATCTAGTAATTCAGCAAATCTTTTAGCTTTAGTGAGAATTACATCGCCTGTAATTACTCTTTTATCTGAACTTGCTTGATTGAACCATATCATCAATGCACTTTCAAGATCAGGATATTTTGCAGCTTTATCTTTTTGTCTGTTGGTATCATTGGGGTTGATAGATAACCATTTATCTTTATCTTTTAAAATCTTGCAAACAGTAGGTTCTGCAATTCTGAATTGTTGGCCAAGTTCTTTATATGTGAATGATGGATTTCTTTCATTAAATTCACAAAGTTGTTTTTTTTCACCCCAAGTCAAAACTTTTCTTTTTTTATTTGATTGATCAATTGATGACATTTTTATTTTTTTTTATTAAAATTTGAGAAAATAATTTTTAGCTGAAATGATTTTTTAATAAATTATTACAAAAAAAAGTACAATTCCTAGTTCTTTCATTTATAAGAAATTCAGTAAAAAACTTTTTGCGACACATTACTAAATTCAATTACTTTATTTCCCGCGAGATATTACTAAATTCAATTACTTTATTTTTCGCGAGACATTACTAAATTCAATTATTTTATTTTTCGCGACACATTACTAAATTCAATTACTTTATTTCCCGCGAGACATTACCAATTCAATTATTTATTTTTCGCGACACATTACTAAATTCAATTACTTTATTTCCCGCGAGACATTACCAATTCAATTATTTATTTTTCGCGACACATTACTAAATTCATTACTTTGTTTTTTTTCGCGACACATTACTAATTCA